GTGTCCAGAGCAGCGTCTGCTAGAGGCTTTACGCGACGAGGACGCCGAGCCATCTAGACAGAAAGATGCGCAGGCCCAAGCGTTGACCTCTGCTATGATCACTGAGCTGGGCGGCCAGGGTACCGGGCATGTCATGAAACGTCCGGCCGCATTGAAGCGACCGGCTGCTGTACTGCGGCGACCCGCCTCTTCGAAGAAGCCGAAGACGAGCGGGACTATCGTTGCAGAGTCCGCCGGTGAGACTGGCCAGGGGAATATATCCTTCAGTGCGAAGCGATGGGGTTCCTGCAGGGCGGAGTTCTATACGCAGAAGAGTTACATCCGCTTCTCGTCCGAGGGCAAATGGAAGATGGTGATTGGGAGCACTGCTCCGAATCACAGGCATATTTGCAAGAAGCTCATTCCATTTGTGAGCAAGGGTTGCTCTCGAGAAGAGCTACTTTCGCAACGAGAGTTGTTGCAGTGTTGACATGGCTGACTTGGAGAGCAAAAGGAAACGAATGCGCGGACCGCGTTACAACATGTGTTTACTCGTTATAGATCCTGGCTTGCGCCTTGAACTTTTGTTGTTACTGGTAGCTGTTTCGGCTTATACGGTTCATATTTATTCTGGTATGCGCACAGACCAGAAGGACGAGTGCCTCACGCTCCTTGATCAAAAGCTGAAGTGCGAGGTGGAGAGGAGAGGACATCAGCGGGTAGAGGCGTCTTGCGATCTAATTCGCGTTGTCCTGCAACAGTGTGGGTGGCATCATGGCACAGATGCTCTGCGGCTGTTTTATCTGGCTGGTCGAAGGCAGTGTCCACCATTTGATGACTGGATCGACACGTCAGATATAGGAAGGACCGCTGCGAAGCGCTCCTTTACCGCACTGCAAGAACTGCCGGACGGTGAGAAGCTACAGGATGCCTTTGACGAGTCGATACTGTTTGTGGAGCATTTGATGACCGAGGCGAAGTTGAATTGGACCCGAGACGTGCTGGAGGATGTGCGCATATCCTTAAGCAATGCGCGGAACGGACTAAAGTCCTGAGAAAATGTGCTCGCGCTGTTCCTAAATAACTAATTTGTGTTTTTATCTTAGACCATCGAAGCAACTAATATATATATATATATGTCTATCTTCGCTGCCGTTTTTGGGCTCTGTAGCGGCGAGGCATCACAGCGTGGACTGCCTACAGGCGGGTTGGGGCGGGCGCTCTTCGCGTTATATATTACATTTTTTTTAATCTACTGTATATCTTGTAGGTCTGTCTATATACACACTAATGTATTTGGATATATATTATCTATAGAAAGGGAAGTTCCCACCTGCGTGGTGAGAGCGACGACCTGCGCGGTGAGGACGTGTCTCCCACCTGCGCGGTGGGAGCACGTGGGTCTCCCACAGCCAAGAGTGAGGTGTCTCCCACCTGCGCGGTGCGAGCACATGGATCTTCCACCTGCGTGGTGGGAGCCAAGCATCTCTCACCGGCATGGTGAGGGTGACGTGTCTCCCACCTGCGTGGTGGGAGCACGTGGGTCTCCCACCTGCGTGGTGGGAGCCAAGCATCTCTCACCTGTGACGCGTCTCCCACCTGCGTGGTGGGAGCGCGTGGGTCTCCCACC